TACATACTCAGTTGTGTATGTGTTACTATAAACTACCTTGGAACACTTTACATGCAGGCCTTCTGAAAAAATATGAGGATGATAATTTTCGAGCCGCGTTGACTGCAGCTCTTTAATGACTAGTTTAGCGGCAGTATCCGGTAGAGTGACGTCATTACGGGGCAGAGCCTCGCATAATGCTTTGGAATATTAACTGTATGTTAGCGTTGTTGTTATTTAGAGTGCGTGGGAAGTGGCGGTGTGGGGGGGGGGTGGAATAGGAGTGGAGGGGAAGGAGAGGTGGGAGGAATAGGTAGATGTATGAATGTGTCTGTGCGTGCGTGCGTGCGTGCGTGAGTGCCGGAAACGACAAATCATGACTATTCAAACATCATTTACATTTCCAAACATGCAAATTATAGCGAGGAAATTCAGTCAAAAACATTTCCCATGGCAAAGTGTGCCTTTTCGGAATACATGCAATGAACACCAATGAGACTCAAACGACTATTTTTTGAGCTTACGTGATCTTATCCAAATTCTTTTTCCATATATACATTCCATACCTTTATATTTCTTGCGTTTTGTCAACATGTCAACCCATATATTGTATTTATCTTCCTTTCTTTATTCAAATTCTTTTACCCAAACGCTGCCCATAATTCATTTTTAAATATATACCTGCGTTCCCAACAAATCAGCTCAAAACATGCCATTTTTTGTCATTTTTAAACATACATCAAAAAGAACACTCAATAATCACTATAATTATCGAAGTTATCCATCAGCACTGGAATTAATATAGTACGTTAAAGCAGTGTGCTATCAGCGAGTGGGTTGGCGTGATTAGAATTGGCAAACATAAGTCGGTATAGCCTATGTGTGTTGCAAATACATACATACATACATAAATGCACGAGCACACACATATGTACGTATGTACAAACATGTACACACACACACACGCATGTGTGTATGTGTGTGTGTGTGTGTGTGTGTGTGTGTGTGTGTGTGTGTGTGTGTGTATGCATGTACATGTGCGTGTATGCATGTACATGTGCGTGTATGCATGTACATGTGCGTGTATGCATGTACATGTGTGTGTACATGAGTGTGTACATGTGTGTGTACATGAGTGTGTACATGAGTGTGTACATGTATGTGTGCATGTGTGTACATGTGTGTACATGTGTGTGCAAATGTGTGTCTGTACATGTGTGTACACGCTTGTGTATGTACATATTTGTGTGAGTGTGTGTGTTTGCGTGTGTGTGTGTGTGTGTGTGTGTGTGTGTGTGTGTGTGGTGTGTGTGTGTGTGTGTGTGTGTGTGTGTGTGTGTGTGTGTGAGTGTCTACATGTGTTTGTGTGTGTGTGTGTGTGTGCATTTGTATGCAGATAGATCCTTACACAGCTGCCAAGTGTCTTAGATCATGCGATGGAGCCCCTCTCCCCCCCTCCCCTCCAACACACAAACACACAGCCTACCCGCCCTCTCCCCTCTCCCCTTTCCCTTCCCCTCTCTCCAGCTCCGCTCTCCCCCTCCCCCCCTTCCCGCAACACGCCCTGATGACAGGTATCCGCTCGCCCGCTCAAAGGCCGCGTCACTGTCATGCACGCACCGATACAGGCAGTCGGCATCCGTGTCAGGCAGGAATTTTCTTCATTCGCGAGTTAAGATCTCGTTTAGTGGCGAGTTGGCTACGATGCCGTGTGGATGACGATGACCACACGAGCAGCTGATAACAAATGTCGTAGAGAAACTGATGTTGAAAGCTTGCGGGCTGGGACCAGATCCTAGTTCTCATTCTGGGCCCCTGTGTGGCGTCGGGGGGACGGCGGCACGGGGAGGAGTCATCGCTAAAATATGTACAGTTTCGATCCGTTAAGTAAGGAAATGTCGTATTTTGTTTCTGAACGACTAGGCCTATAAGTGCATCAGCTAAGACACACACACACACACACACACACACACACACGCACACACACACACACACACGCACACACACACACACACACACACACAAGTACGTGATATGCGCTAATTAATATCGCTGTACACATTAACATTCAGTTCTGACGCACACGCACAAGCCGCTGCCACACCTGCGCCCCGCGGACAATCCCAAACGGGAAGAGCATTCTGGGAAACACATACCTACTTTTTCCAGAGTTTCTTTTCCTAGTAAATAAGTAAATGAATAAATAATCTACGTTTTCTTTGGACAACAATAACCGTTTTCTTTTTTCTTTTGTTTTTCAGATCGGATTTCACTAAATATATTCGACGCGACTGCCGTACACGAGTATCACAAATCTCGAGAAAATTAAACTACATCAAACGCCCTTCTGCCCAAGACACTAAATAATTTCCCAAATAAAGAAAAAAATGAAAAAAAACACTGATTCCCCACATAAAGAAAAGCAATAACAAATAAAACAAACTTCCCATTCCAACGAAACCAGGATTTTTCTTCAGTAATTGCATATTCACATTTCTTCGGCCCACTAACTGCATAATTACCACTCATCTGTGCACTCTCTCCGCCCTCGCCTAATAGCAGTACATGCATAATGCTGTAAACTCGGCAAGGAAAAGTTGGAGAGAGAAGGGAAAAAAACAATTGCTTTGAACTAATTACAGGTCATTAACATGCTGATTGTTTCATTACTTAAATACCAGTTGCTTAAGCATTCTCCAGATTACTGAAAATTATGCTTTTATTCTTCTCTTTTCTCTTTCCCTTTGTGGGGGAGTGTGGTTTATTCATTGTGCAGAATAAATTAGAGGAGGTTCCTATAGCCGCGTATTACAGCAACAGGAAGGGCATAGAGCAAATGTGCGACTCTAGGTGTAGGCCTATATGTGTACGTACGTACGTAATACGTCTGCATATGTGTGTGGGTATGGGTGGGGCGGGGTGTGTGGATGAAGGGGTTGCATGAGGGTTTTAATGTGCGTGTGTGTAGGGGAAAGATGACCTAACACTATCACTCATACATTATGAATCCTGCCATAAGGCGGAACGTTGGTTCATGAATATTGGAGCGCGCCTGTTGCAGGCTGTACAGTACATGGTACAAGGACCCTCACGCGCAAGCCTTTGACGCTCGTATTATGTACAGTATCCAATGACACAAATGAATCATGTACAGCTAGTATCTGATTGCATTAAAGAAAATTGGCACAGTATCTGATGACTCAACTGGATTATGCACAGATTAGTATCTAAAAGTACAACAGTACCCGGGCCACACAAAAAGATCATGCACAGGCAGCATCCGATATCATAAAAATCATGCACAGTTCTCCAGGGCACAAAAAAAATCATGTACAGGTAGTATCTGATAAAACAAGAATATCATACACAATACCCGATGCCACAAGGGAATCATGGCACATGAGATTCATGCACAGGTAGTATAGTATATCCGATACAGCACAGGCAGTATCGGATGGCATAAAATAATCCACAAGGAGCATTCAATGACGCAAAAGAATCCACAGACATTATCCAACACTAAGGGGTCAAGCACATGCAATATCCGATCCCAAATAATAACAATAACAATAACAATAACAACAACAACAACAATAATAATAATAAAAATAAATAATAATAATAATAATAAAACAACAATAATAATAACAATAAAACAACAAAAATAATAACAATAAAACAAAAATAACAACAACAATAACACCATTAATAACAACAGAATAATAATAGAATTGATTTTTTTAAATCGAAAAAAACGTGCTCGGGTAATATCCGATGACGCAAAAGAATCATGCACAGGCAATGTGGTTTTGCATATCTATGGTCCATTTCCGCCCTCTCCGCTCGTCCCGACAGCTTAGCAACCCTTCATGGCAGACAAATGGCCATGAGCAGCGCTGAAAATTGCAAAGCGGGCAAGGGCGTTCCTCTCTTTCCCCCGCGTTTAATCTCTCATTTCCTTTCTTTTCCCACTCTTGTGCACGACAGGTAAACTAGTTTCAGGCTGTCAGTCCCTTTCCTTCCCCTCATGCCTGGTTCCCCCTCATGTCAGGTTTTTTTCTCTCTTTCTTTTTTTATTATTCGTCCATCTCTCCCTCTCCCTTTCCCTTTCCCTTCTCTTCCCTCTCCTCTCCTCTCCCTCTCCCTCTCCTCTCTTCCCTTTCCCTCTCCCTCTCCCTCTCCCTTTCCCTTTCCCTCTTTCTTTCCCTTTCCCTCTCCCTTACCCTTTCTCTCTCCTCCCTTTCCCTTTCTCTCTCCTTTTCCCTCTCCCTCCCTCATTCTCTCTCCCTACGCCTGTCACGTGAACCTCCTCTAAAGAATCGAGCAGAGGTCTTGCGTGCCCAATTGCAGTGTGCTGTCGTGCAATTAATACATCCTTTGGTCTATATGCAACTAAATTGTGACGTGACACAAGCCGCTTAATTTCAGCCCGCCTGAATTTATGGGGGGGAGAGGATAATACATGTGATGGGGCTGTACTCTCGCCGGGTGTAATTCCCTCTCTGTGTTTCGTTGAGCACAAGGCGAGGCGGATCAGCACTCAGGGTACACGTGTGCGCCGCGGCTCAGTCCGTCTCTTCGGCCGCCTCTCCGTTATCTGTGTAGCTTTAACCTCCTGTGTCCGGTCGCCTACACCTGCGGTATTTATCACAATGGTCATGGTTGATAGGGTCTCGTTGGTTCTCGTAGTGGACGAGATCTCGCTAAATGACGTACGATCCGGAGTAGTTGTTGGAGTGGTTTCACGGTGTCAAGAGTTCATCGCGACGACCGGGCCCACCTGCGGCACGGAGCCCTGACACTGCCCAGTGCCCTCGCCACTTCCTTTGCGGATGGGATTTTACGGATACTTTTGACACTGCATTCTGCTGTCAACTTTCTTTGTAATGGTGCCTCAAGAATCCCAAAATAAAGCCCTTGACATGAAAAGATATACCAATCACAGCTTTATCGTCAGGCCCAGTAATTCATCTTTATGTCCCTCCCTGCCCCCCCCCCACCTCCTTCCTCCAATCACCCAC